ACTGCATTTTCTTTCTTTCATTGTCCATGCAAAGACTTTGCCTCAGTAAGCCCTAAAAAAGGATTTTAGCTTAGCTGTTTTTGGTACAGGTAATAATTATTGCAATTGGATTTTCACATATTCAAAATCTAATTTGCCTCTGGCATTTCAAATTAATTCATGAAAATTCTCTTTCCATCCCTAAAGTATTCTTTTTCTTTATTTCTTTTGCTATTTAACTTTTTTGTTTTGGCAGAATCAAGTAAGAGCATTGTCATTATTTTGATTTACTCATAACAAACAGTAGGCTTTGTAAGGTTTCTCAACATCTCCAAAAATGCAGTAGACTACTCAGGTTGTTAATTCACCTGGCTGGCACACCTCGCTGGTCTCAGTGTAAGTTGTATTTCCTGGAGATCTGGCTATTGATTCATATTGATTCTGTGAATTCAGTATAAAGTACAACATCTAATTTGTTTCAAGCACTATAACTTTATTTGGGTCATTATAGATTTTTTTTTTTTCTTTATTTCATAATCTTTAATTGTGGGATCCTAAAAGGTGATCCCTCTTTCCTTCAAAACGACACCAAAAACTAAATTGACTGAATCATAAGAATGAACAGTTGCAAAATACTGTATCTTGTAAGCTTTTATCTTTTGTAATAAAAGAATAATAGTTAGTATTGAAGATTATAAATTTGTAATAAAAAAAGCTTCAATATGTGAGATATATCCTTACAAAACTGTTGTGCATTGATTCATTATAATTCAAGTTGCTTTCTTGAAATTAACAAGTTATTTTGTTTCAGTCAATATGTATTCATAAAATCCCAGTGAAAGTAATTTAAGTTATTCACTGCAGTATTCAATGATTCTTTTCTCAGAATGCTGGCAAGAAAACCCATCATTTTTAAAATATGATACCTTATTTTGTATTTTATTGTTGAAAGGACTAGTAATGTATTTTATGTTCCATAAATGATTTGTGTAGATTCTGGAAATTACTTCTGTATTTATATTTAGTTGTGGTTGATTTTCAGGGAAAAAAGAAGATTAAAAGGTTAGTTTGGTTATACATCAGCCTACCGAAACTCGTCAAATTGGGCACATTCCATTCCAGTCCAACATGTAAATATTTCCCATTATTCCTTTTGTCCTGTCTTCCAAAGATAATGTTGCAAGATGTTGTCTTACTTCTGTAATGATTTGGTTTGTTTATTCTTTGTTATTTCTTTTTTTTTGTCATCTGTTTTGTCTTGTCTGTCCTGAAGGCTGTGATGTACTTACGTATTATCAACATAGAATTGGATATTTGGGTTGATAAATAATTTCTCATTCTTTCTCAGTATGAAAACAGATTTCCTTGTTGCTCCATATAACAAGAGGAAATCTGATATGTGCTAGAACAAACTGTACTGATGAACAAATTTCCAAAGTCATTCTCATTTTCTGTGTTGATTTCTTCCTCCAAATTCTGATTTATGATTTGGAGGAATAGCTTTAGTTTCACAAGTGCAGAAATGGTTGTGTACAGGCATAACTCCTCAGTTAATATATACAGCACAGTGTATATTAATTAGATCTTTAATTCATCTGGTCACTTCTGGAAACATTATATTGCCTATTTTCATCTTAATTTATAGCAACAGAAACCAGCTTTCTTTGTATGACCAGGCAATTTGAAGGCTGTTTTTTTATTAGTAGCAGGAAAATAGGGTTTTTCTTTTATAATCACATGCCAATAATCTCTGTCTGGTTGATGTGCAGAGGGAGTGCAAATTGAGTTCAAAAGTGAGATACAAAATTGAATTATATATTTTTCCTCTTCCCTAAATATTGCTCTGTAAATTAGAAACCAAAATCTTTGGCCCCAGAAACTTATGTATATGAATGTAAAAATAATTTTAATAATGCTAATGAAAAGTAAATAAAATATTTAAAGTGTACAGTGTTGTCTAAGACTGCACAGTTGTTATAATAAAATAAATCTGTGTTTTAATATTTTATTTATTTTGGATTACCATCCTTGAGATATCTCAATACCATGTGTAATAAATTCTTTAAGGTACCTATTTACAGTAATACACACAAAATTTATACCACTCTATCATTCACTCTATCACCTTGTACATCTCATGTGAATAACTAATAACAACAATCAAAGATTAACATTTATAAAATATAAAAAAAGTATGATACAGATCAAAATAAGAGAAAATAAATAATATCTGAGTACACTTAATAGAAGTCCAACTGATATATTACAAATGAGAAAGGGCAGTTACTTCTCAGTGAAGATTCGGCTGTAATGTCCTATTCTCTCTATCTGCATTTTTGACAAAGTCCTTCAACAAACTCATTATTTCATTATCAAACTCTTGTGGGGTTTCCCGTACACCTGGAAAAAAAAAAATATATTATTACTTTTTAATCTAATTAATAAAGTACTTTTATAAATGTAATCTGCCAAGAGTAAAATACAAGAATCAAACTTGAAATTATATTTCTAAACATTAAATTCATTTACTGGAATTGAAGTGGAGCACAAAAATAGAAAACTAATGTTAAATATATATATATATATATATATATATATATATATATATATATATATATATATATATATATATATATATATATATATATATATATATATATATATATATATATATATATATATATATATATATATATATATATATATATATATATATATATATATATATATATATATATATATATATATATATATATATATATATATATATATATATATATATATATATATATATATATATATATATATATATATATATATATATATATATATATATATATATATATATATATATATATATATATATATATATATATATATATATATATATATATATATATATATATATATATATATATATATATATATATATATATATATATATATATATATATATATATATATATATATATATATATATATATATATATATATATATATATATATATATATATATATATATATATATATATATATATATATATATATATATATATATATATATATATATATATATATATATATATATATATATATATATATATATATATATATATATATATATATATATATATATATATATATATATATATATATATATATATATATATATATATATATATATATATATATATATATATATATATATATATATATATATATATATATATATATATATATATATATATATATATATATATATATATATATATATATATATATATATATATATATATATATATATATATATATATATATATATATATATATATATATATATATATATATATATATATATATATATATATATATATATATATATATATATATATATATATATATATATATATATATATATATATATATATATATATATATATATATATATATATATATATATATATATATATATATATATATATATATATATATATATATATATATATATATATATATATATATATATATATATATATATATATATATATATATATATATATATATATATATATATATATATATATATATATATATATATATATATATATATATATATATATATATATATATATATATATATATATATATATATATATATATATATATATATATATATATATATATATATATATATATATATATATATATATATATATATATATATATATATATATATATATATATATATATATATATATATATATATATATATATATATATATATATATATATATATATATATATATATATATATATATATATATATATATATATATATATATATATATATATATATATATATATATATATATATATATATATATATATATATATATATATATATATATATATATATATATATATATATATATATATATATATATATATATATATATATATATATATATATATATATATATATATATATATATATATATATATATATATATATATATATATATATATATATATATATATATATATAAATAAATAATAATAATGAGGGGAAATAATTATACTCTCTACATAAGGATATCATACAAAATAGTTTGAGAAAAAATCACCCCAGCCTCACCTTCTATGCCATCTTGCTACTAAATATTGTTATGAGTTTATTAAAAGAATTGCCTGCTAGTATGAAGACTTTACTCCTAGAAGCCTTGATTATTTCAATAATTCCGTCAACAAACAGGCACAATGCCAACCCAAATGCCCTGCCAAGCATTGGTCTCCATCCTCCAGAGGCAAATGAGCATATCACCTGAACAAAGGCCCTGAAAGTTTCTTACCACACTTGGGCAGAAACCCCTTACTTATGGACCTTTTATTCTTTATGAAGCAGCTTAATGAGATTGAAAAAGTGTTAAGAGCTCGACATGGTATTGGTAACCCAGCTCAAATAATATTATATATGACTCAAGTAACACAAGTCCTAAATAAATTTCTTTGTAATGACAATTTCTGACAATCTCAAGTTAATTGAAAAGGAAATATTTATGGTTACTGCCACCAGCTTGGCGGATACAGGCATGGATGAACGTACACAATTAACTGTCATCCATCTGCAGAATGCAACTGCTCCCATGCTATAATTGCTTGGGCAACAATGATATGACAATTGCAGATATGATCTTGCAAAGTCTGCCCATGGCTGTCTAGACATTCTCAATGGGATTGAGATCTGGTAATCTGGGTGGATGTGGCAGCAGCATAATCTCGGCATATTGCTGAAACCACACCTTCACTACACTGCTTGTGTAGCTGGCACTGTTATCCTGGACAAGCAATATGGCAAAATCTACTGGGCCCGACACCAGTCAACTCCCTGACCTTGTTGCTGTGCCTACATCCAAATAGCCCAGCAATTTCAGACAGCCTGCATGGTGCAGTATAATGCCAAGTCCTACTGGATGTTGCCAGTAAAACAGAAGGCGACTGCAATCCTTGCAGCAGTTATGAACCATTTCAAAAAATAATGAAAATGAATAACTGGTGTCACTGGATCCACAGGGACATGGATGGCTTCAAAATACCTAGTCTTCTTGATAGTCCTTAAGAATAAGGTGTAATTATGGTGCTACGAATGGTCTGTGAGGTCTCTGTTGCCAATATTGCTGTGATACAAGGCCCAAGTCATATCACTTCAGAAACACTATTCGAAAACATTATGAAGCCTCATCTGTTCTGCTTTGAAAACATCAATTACCAACCTTTCCAGATCAACTCTTAGCACTAGTTTTGGTTTCATCTACTCGCAAGTAAAGTTTTTTTTTTTTTTTTTTTGATTCATGAATATTTCTCTTGTTAACCCCATGGCAGAATATGAGAGCCCCGTTCTTAGTATGTTGCCACTAAAACCTCTCAAACCTCTTGAAGTCTTGTTGAACAGGGCAATGAGAGCTGTACTTGCCTGTTCAAAGGCTGCTAAAATTCTAGTCATGAAGAAAGAGCTACTTACTCTCAATTCACAGTAGTACTACCTAAGATAACATCAAAGTCTGCATCAGATTCTATCCAAACCACAAACTTCCCTTATTTTATCAAATAAGATTAATCATAGAGTTAAGCATGCCTGGCCTCAAATACTCCAATATGATACAATCCAACTTACAATAGTAAGCTAAAACTATCCAAACTATTTTCAGCTTCAATGCATGGACCACTGATGCTATTAACTTTACAGAATCAACACTTGCTGCATCTTATATATTGACATATACACAGGGCCTAAAAATATGACTACAATAACATAACTGATAGCTCATTACTTGATTTTCTTCATCCCCCTCATGGTGCTTCTCCACTTGCAATCTACTGTGGGGCCTCTACTAATCCACATGGAGCAGCTGGGATTGGTGTACTATTTTCTGACATTAATCTTAAAGACAGTGTACAAATTTCAGTAACTATATACCATGCCATTAAAAACATAATGAAAAGCAGCAACACCCAGCTGCCTTTACTAACAGCAAAGGTACACTACACTTAGTCCAGAAAATATGAAGGCTAAAAGTACTCTTCACCAAATTTCTAAACTATTAGAGCAGGGTATTAAGTCCCTATACTGGGTACCCTCTCATAACAGAATACCAGCCTGATCAGTAAGTGAAATTAGTACTTCCTATGAAGAACCATACTATGCAGTGCAATTATCTTCTTCCAGCTCATGATGGTCAGGTACACATCACCAAAAAGCTGAAGAAAAATGGACATGGTACCATCAGGCATTATGAAAGTAGAGACCCTACAGGATGATCATAGGGTTTCAATACACAGTAAAACATATACAGGATGCAGCTTTGGAGGCAAAGCTAATTTCGTGTCACCAAAGCAAAATGTATAAGACGTCCACACCACATAATATTACCCATTGACTAATCTGTTGCATGAAAACTACATTTTATCAATCAAATGGCACTGTCCAGAGACCAGCAGTTATTGAATACATTAATTTTAATATAGACACTGGTTTTGTCTTTGATATTATTAATATGATTTTTTTTTACCAGCCAGATGAATAAAGTACAATGGCATTGTACAGAAGCACACCCAGTTTGGATGGATGCTTTGGCATGTACACTGTTCTTTAAATAAATTTATCAAAACACATCAATATCAGCTAATTTCAACTAATTTAACTGGCATATAACAAATTCAATCAAATAATTTCAATCAAATAGTCTCCCTTTGGTAACTTTTTCAACCTATTATAGTCTGTTCAAGTTGGACATACAGAATGCCACACTCACTTTCATTAGAGCCATAGACAAATGACATGTTATTGTACTGCACACCATCCTCTGACCCTTACAGTGTACACGAAATCCAAAATCCATGCATTAGCCTTCCTTAACTCATATGATCCAGATGATGGGAACATCACACATCACAAAAAAAATTAGGGTGGGTGACACGAACACACCATTTTGGAAAAATATGACTG